ACCCTCCCTGCTGATCCAGGGTGTCACCTCCTCTATGGTCGCTGGCTGCCAGTGTTCCCCTTGTTCTCTTCCTCCCTCTGTACCCCGAAGTCCACTTTGTAGCTATTACTGCTTGCTGGGAACTCACTTCCAGTAATACACCCAGACTGGATTCTCCTGATCTTTTTGACTGTCAGCTCAAAGCATGGCCCAACTTGAAAACACCCTGCACCTTACTTAGAACTCGCTTTCAGAAGAGGGTGGATGATATGGATATTTATTTGCCTGGTAGCAGTAGAACTCCCAGCTGACATTTCTTTCTTTCTTTTTTTATTTTTAATTCTATGGATTACTCTGTAATCTAAGAAATAGGAATTGCCACCACTGTGATACTGTTTCCCGCATCAACCTTGAGCTCACCCTGAGCAGATGGGGTTAAATAACAGCATGTCCGTTTCAGTGACCTTTCATTCCATGTGAGCCTATCATCCCCTTGAAAGTTGGCAAAGTGAGAAACTAGCGTGCTGACACCCGCCACTAATGAGCCGCTGTGGCTGTCTCGGGAATCCTCGTGGCCAGGGTCCTGAGCACATGTTTCATAGAACCGTCCACAGCACAGGTTGGTGCAAGCTGTGTCTGCCTCAGCCTTCCCATCCTGCTCTGTTGATTCAGGTAGAAACAGCCTTCCGCCCCCTTCACAGGGTTAAACTGGTGTCATCCTCCGAGGCTCCGATTTGGACTGAGGGCTTTACACACGTCAGCGCTTTGACACGTGTGGTTGAGAAGAGTATAACGCGTTAGAACTGGAGCTGAGGCTTTAATCCGCATCGTCGTTGAGTGAGAGACAGGCATTTACCACAACGAAGATGTGACCCTCCCCTTCTTCCAGGGTCTGACTGGCATAGTTTAATTTCTTTCCTATCAAAATATTACCCTAAGTGAATAATAAAATAATTATAAAGGACTTTTTTTATTTTTTTAATTTGCTATAGGGCAAGTATGCTCACCAGAGAGAGAGAAAATGAGAAAGCACTCCCCAGAGAAATGGCCCCACCACAGTCCCTTCTCCTCTGTTCTCCTCTTGGATTTTGGGCACACATGCTCCTGTGATTTTCAAGTCACAGTGTCCAGGAATTGAACCACATAGTCAGCCGTGGGAGAATCCAGCTACCTTAACCACCACATCACCTGGCTGACCCAAGACTTTTATTTTTATTTATATTTATATATACACATATATATATACCAATAATTCACTAGCATATATGTGTGTATATATATAAATGAAAATAAAAATATTTCATATATATATACACATGTACATATATGTGGATGTATGTGTGTGGATATATATGTATATCTTTTTGAAAAAGGAAGAATTTAATTATTATGCATGCTTCCCAAAACTGGCTCTGTAGCCTGAGACCTTTCATGTATTCCAGCTTCTTGTATTCCTTCAGGGATTTACTATTACCTAGTCCTAGTATCTCTCTCCACCCACAGAACACTTCTGACACCAAATGTGTCTAGCACCAAATATATGGGGTTTTCATTCCAGGCTATTCTCTGGTTCTCTATGGACACCAACAATTCTGAAACTACCCAGGGTCAGTGCAGAGCCCACATGGTAGAGGCTCAGCCCTGCAAGACCAGCCCCCACTTCAGATGCTAGCTGCAAATATTGGGTCCTCCAGTTACCCACATTCTGTCCAACTTGGCTGTGAATCACAGTTCCCACAACCTCTTCCTCAGGTTCAATAGTTTGTTATAATGACTCTCAGAACCACTCTACTTACTCTTACTGCTAGTTTATTACAGAGGGTACTATGAAGGACACAAATGAACAGCCAAGTGAAGAGGCACATAGGCAAGGTCCCAAAGGGTCTCGTGTCCTGGGCCTTCTGTCCTCGTGGAGTTGGTATACATCACCTCCTGGCTCGTAGATGTGTTCACCCACCCAGAAGTTCTCTGAACCCCTTCCCTTAGGTTGAGGTTCTGTTATGTAGGAAGGATGGATTAAGTCTTTGGCCATTGGTGATTAATCCAACCTCCATCCCTTCTCCTCTCAAAGGGCTGGCAGATGGGGCTGACAGTGGGCACTCTGTAATCCTGCCTGAGTCTTTAAAGTCACCAACCACCGATCATTCGCTGGCATACAAAAGACACCCATACGGGGACCAGCAGTTAGTGTAATGGCTGTGTTGCTGGACTCCCATGTAGTCGACTGTGGTCTGCATCCCAGACCCGGTGGCTTAAAACTCACGCCGGGCACATGTGCATGTGTGCAAGATCCCAAGAGGAGAATGGAGGAGAAGGGATTGCGGCGTGGCCATCCCCCCTGGGGGGTGATTTCTCGCTTTCTGTCTCTGCCTGGCGAACGCATGCGTCCTATA